TGCTGTCACGAAAGACACAGCATGATGCACGTGAGTCTTGTGTGAAGGTGTGCAAGGCCGCAGCAGGCGCAGTAAAAGTGAGAGCAGACTCACTAGCACCTAGAGCAGCAGCCTCTATAGCCGGGTCAGGCAGCACACACAGGGAACAGTCACCCTCAGTACCAATAGTCAAAGCATACATGGCAGTGAGGATAGCGTCATAGTCTAGAGCAAAGACATCCACACCCTGCCTAAGTAGCTCTAGCCAGTGGGGAAGCCCAGCCACGTCACCAAACTCTGCACACCAGGTGTTGCTCAGAAAGGAGGAGCAGCAGGACTGCGTGTGACCAACTGTCCCGCAAGTCTGACCAGCCCGATCACCTGTGTGAATGACGTACAGGCAGCGAGCACTACTCCGAGACGCCCCACGCTGAGCGTACCACTCACGGAGTTGCTGAGGCGTAAGGGTCTCGCGCGGACGCCACTGCAGCTGCGCCAGGCCACCGCCAGAAATTCCCAACTGAACATCTGCATAGCAATTGCCACTACTGCTGCCGCCACCACTCGTATGAGCGTACCACTAACGTAGCTGCTGGGGTGAAAGGGTCTCATTCTAACGCCGTTGCAGCTGCAGCTGGCCACCGCCAGAAACTCCCCTCCGAACAGCTCCACAGCGACTGCTAGTACGGCCGCCACCACTCCCACTGCTGCCACCACCGCCGTCACCAATCCCACCGCTACGATGAAGAGAAGTCATAGCGGGCAAGCTAGGAGGCGCACAAGGGTGGCTAGCAGGCACCAGGGCCGCAAGAGGGCGGCGAGCTGGCCACAGGCAAGCGGCGAGTGGGCACCAAGGGGCAGCTAGGGGGCTAGGGGCAGTGGGCGGGGCTGCAGGGGCGGCGAGAGGGCCACAAGGGGTGGCGTGCGGGGCTGCAGGGGCGGCTCGCGGGCTGCAGGGGCGAAGTGTGGGCCGCAAGGAGCTGCAGGGGCGAAGTGCGGGCCGCAAGGAGCTGCAGGGGCAGCGTGCGTGGCTGCAGTGGTGGTGCGTGAGTTGCAGGGGCAGGGCGTTGGGCTGCAGGGGCGGTGCGCGGGGCTGCAGGGGCGGTTCGCGAGCTGCAGGGGCAGGGCGCAGGGCTGCAGGGGCGGTTCGCGAGCTGCAGGGGCAGGGCGCGGGGCTGCAGGGGCTGTGCGCGGGGCTGCAGGGGCGGCTCGCGGGGCTGCAGAGGAGGCGGGCAGGTTGCAAGCAGGCGGCGCGTGGGTTGCAGGGCGGCGGGCGGGCTGCAAGTGGGCGGAGCGCTGGCTGCAGGGGTGACGGGTGGGCCAAGGCCTACGGTCGACTGGTGGGGCCAGGGCCTAGGGTCGACGGGGTGCGCCAGGCTAGGGTCGACGGGTGGGGCTAAGGCCTAGGGTTGACGGGTCTTGGCCTAGGGCAGCGGCCCGGGGCTAGGGGCGATGGTCGACGGGGCCGGGGCCTAGGGGCGAAGGGCCGAGGGGGTGACGGGCGACGGGCCGGGGCCGGGGCCTAGGGGCGTCAGGCGACGGGCCGGGGCTAGGGGCGACAGTCGGCGGGGCCGGGGCCTAGGGGCGACGGGCCGAGAGGCGATGGGCGACGGGCCGGGGCCGGGGCCTAGAGGCGACGGGCGCGGTGCGACGGGCGACGGGCTGGGGCCTAGGGGCGTCGGGCGACGAGCCGGGGCTAGGGGCGACGAGCGCGGGCCTAGGGGCGACGGGCGACGGGCCAGGGCCTAGGGGCGTCGGGCGACGGGCTGGGACTAGGGGCGACGCTCGCGGGCGCTGGGGCCGACGGGCGACGGGCCGGGGCCTAGGGGCGACAGGCCTAAGGGCCGCACAAGGGCGGCGCGCGGGGCAGCAGGTGCGGCACGAGGGTTGCTAGGGGCGGCTAATGGGGCAGCGCTGTCAAACATTATATGTTTATATTGTGTAGGCTAGTGGGTTTAGCCTTAGGGGGTACAGCTTTGTTAGGGTTTCCTACTTGTATCCCCCTCCTACCTAGTTTCATTGATTCTCGTTCTATTCTAGATTCTAACATGGTATCACGAGCCTAGGTTGCTACCTAGGACCGCTTTCTACTATGGGCCCACTATTCCGCTAGAAGCGCCCTCGTGCGCCCTACCTTACGTGCGCCCTCGTGCGCCTTTCTCTGCTAGTGCGCCTTCGTGCGCCCTCGTGCGCCCTCGTGCGCCCTCGTGCGCCCTCGTGCGCCCTCGTGCGCCTTTCTCTGCTAGTGCGCCTTCGTGCGCCTTCGTGCGCCCTCGTGCGCCCTCGTGCGCCTTCGTGCGCCCTCGTGCGCCCTCGTGCGCCTTCGTGCGCCCTCATGCGCCCTCGTGCGCCCTCGTGCGCCCTCGTGCGCCCTCGAGCGCCCTCGTGCGCCCTCGAGCCGCCCCTGCAGGTCCGTCAGGCCCCTGAGCCGCCTCTGCAGACCCGTCAGGCCCCCCCCGAGCCGCCTCTGCAGGCCCGTCAGGCCCGAGAGCCGCCCCTGCAGACTCGTCAGGCCCGCGCGCAGCCTCTGCCCGACCGCGCGCCGCCCCTGCAGGCTCTCGCCGCCCGCCGCGTCGCCCTGCCCGCGGCGTCGCCGCCTGCCCGCGGCGTCATCACCTGCCCGCGACGTAGCCCCTGCCCGCGGCGTCGTCGCCTGCCCGCGGCGTCGTCGCCTGCCTGCGGCGTCGTCGCCTGCCCGCGACGTAGCCCCTGCCCGCGACGTCGTCGCCTACCCGCGGCGTCGTCGCCTGCCCGCGGCGTCGTCGCCTGCCCGCGGCGTCGTCACCTGCTCGCCGCGTCGCCCTGCCCGCGGCGTCGCCACCTGCTCGCGGCGTCGCCCTGCTCGCGGCGTCGTCACCTGCTCGCCGCGTCGCCCTGCTCGCGGCGTCGTCACCTGCTCGCCGCGTCGCCCTGCCCGCGGCGTCGTCACCTGCCCGCCGCGTCGCCCTGCCCGCGGCGTCGCCACCTGCCCGCCGCGTCGCCCTGCTCGCCGCGTCGCCCTGACCTAATCCGCGCCTGGCCTCTGGAGCAGCCGCCCCTGCAGCAGCTGCCCCTGGCCACTGGAGCAGCCGCCACTGCAGGAGCCGCCCCTCGCCCCTGGAGCAGCCGCCCCTGGCCCCTAGAGCAACCACCGCTGCAGCAGCCGCCCCTGGCCCCTGGAGCAGCCGCCACTGCAGCAGCCGCCCCTGGCACCTGGAGCAGCTGCCGTCGCGGCCCGGCCTCGCCCTGCAGCAGCTGCCGCGGAGCTCCCTGCTGTGGCCCGGCCCCGCCCTGCAGTTGTAGCGGCCCCGCTGTCGCCACCGTCTTGCGCATGCCGCGCCGACCACTGGTGAGCATTGCCCTGCCAGCACTGCTACCGCTGCTACTGCTGCTACTGCCTTTTCTACTCCCACTGCTACTGCTCCTGCTGTTACTGCTGTTACTGCCGCTACTGCTGCTACTGCTACTCCTGGCGTGGCCAGATGCAGCTCCAGGGCCATGCGCGTGAGTCCCTCACGCCCCAGCAGCTTCGTGAGTGGTACGCTAGTTGGGGCTGTCGGGGTGGCCGTAGTGGTAGTCGCTCTGGAGTGGGTCGGTCGGGAGCTTCTGGTAGTGGACAGGTGCAGCTGCCGTGTCCTCTTTCGCCCCAGCAGCTTCGTGCGTGGTACGCTAGTTGGGGCTGTCGGGGTGGCCGTAGTGGTAGTCGCTCTGGAGTGGGTCGGTTGGGAGCTTCTGGTAGTGGACAGGTGTAGCTGCCGTGTCCTCTCTCGCCCCAGCAGCTTCGTGAGTGGTACGCCAGTTGGGGCTGTCGGGGTGGCCGTAGTGGCAGTCGCTCTGGAGTGCGTCGTTCGGGAGCTTCTGGTAGTGGACAGGTGCAGCTGCCGTGTCCTGTGAGTGAGGCTGCCACTCTAGGTGCTAGTGCGTCTGTTGCCCTAGGTGCTGGTGAGGCTACCACTCCCGGTACTCGCGTGTCTGCTACCCCAGGTGCTGGTGAGGCTGCTGCTCTAGGTGCTCGTGAGTCTGCGCCCCCTGGTACTGAGTTGACTGAGGCACTGCACACCTTCACTCTGGACTCAGGTGCTTCTCGCTGTTTCTTTCGTGACCGCACTGCCCTTGAGCCGCTTGCTCGGCCAGTTGCTGTCTCCCTCGCTGACCCCTCTGGGGGTCCGGTCATTGCGACCTCCTCCACTGTCCTTCCTTGTCCTGCGGTCCCGTCGGGCACACTGTCAGGTCTCCACCTCCCCTCGTTCTCTACGAACTTGGTGGCGGGTTGTGCGCTCCAGGACGGGGGTGTTCACCAGTTCACCCCTGCCTACGAGCGCGTGACACACTGCACGTGTGCTCGGACGGGCCGTCACCTGGCTACCTTCACTCGGCAGCCGGGGTCGGACCTGTACACACTGACCACTGAGTCCCCTCAGGTAGCTGCGTCTGCGTCTGCGTCAGGTTAGCTGTCGGCCCCCTGCTCGTGTCGCTCTCTGGCGCACGAGACCGTCCTCTGGCACCACCGACTTGGTCACCCGTCCATGCAGCGCCTTCGTGCCATGCACAAACGGTACCTTGTCTCTGGTCTTCCCAGGGTTCTCCCTCCCCTCCCACCCTCGCCTACTCCTCCCTGTCTTCCCTGTGTCGAGGGGCGGCAGCGCGCCGCTCCTCACTCCTCCTCGTTTCCCCCGACGACTGCTCCCTTGCAGACGCTCCACATGGACGTGTGGGGCCTAGCCCGCGTCCGTGGTCAGGGTCAGGAGAGGTACTTCCTGATAGTTGTTGACGACTACTTGCGCTACACCACGGTCTTCCCCTTGCGCACCAAGGGTGAGGTCCCTGATATTTTGATCCCTTGGATCAGCGCTTCTCGTCTCCAGCTAAGCGAGCGTTTCCACTCGGACTTTCCTGTCCTGCGCTTGCACTCTGACAGAGGTTGTGAGTTCTCCTCCGACCTCTTGGCAGCCTACTGTGCGGAGCACGGCATCCGCCAGTCGTTCACGCTTCCGGCCTCTCCACAGCAGAATGGGGTTGCTGAGTGCCACATTGGCTTGGTCATGGAGGTCGCTCGTACCTCCTTGATCCATGCGGCTGCCCCCCACTTTCTGTGGCCGTTTGCAGTCCGATACGCTGCGCATCAGCTCAACCTCTGGCCCCGTGTCTCCGTTCCGGAGACTTCGCCGACACTGCGTTGGACAGGAGAGGTTGGCGATGCGTCACGCTTTCGGGTCTGGGGATCTCGAGCCTTTGTTCGCGATACGTCCGCGGACAAGCTCTCCTCCCGCGCTGTTCCTTGTGTCTTCCTTGGCTTTGTCCCGGACGCGTCTGGTTGGCAGTTTTACCACCCCACCTCGCGCCGTGTCCTGCCTTCTCAGGACGTCACTTTCGACGAGTCCGTCCCCTACTACCGCCTCTTCCCCTACCGCACTGCCCCGCTTCCCCCCCCGCCTCTCTTCCTCGCGCCAGGTGCTGCTGTGGTAGACCCCCTCCCCCCTCAGGGTGCCGCTCCCTCAGGTGTGTCCCAGGTAGACCCGGTTGAGCCTGTCGAGGTAGCTGTCGACTCTCGTCCTGCTAGGGGTGCTGAGCCTGAGGGTGCTGAGCCTGAGCGTGCGGAGCCTGGGGGTGCGGAGCCTAGGGGTGCGGAGCCTGGGGTTGCGGAGTCTGGGGGTGCGGAGCCTGGGGTTGCGGAGTCTGGAGGTGCTGAGCCTGGGGGTGCGGAGCCTGGGGGTGCTGAGCCTGCGGGTGCTGAGTCTGGGGGTGCTGAGTCTGGAGGTGCTGAGCCTGGGAGTGCTACACCTGGAGGAGCTCTCTCCTCACAGCAGCTGCGTGAGTGGTACTTACAGTACTGCAGCCTCAGGAGAGGTGCTTCTGGAGCCAGGAGTACTGCTGGAGCTGGTGCTAGTGCTTCCCCTCCTAGGCGGGAGCTGCCCTCTCCCCAGCGGCTCCGAGAGTGGTACGCATGGCGCTGCAGTCTTCGGAGTGGCGCTCCTAGTGTCGCGGACCCAGCTGCTGGAGGTTCTGCTGCTGGCGGTGCTTCTGGCGCTGCTGGAGGTACTGCTGGTGCTGGAGCTGCTGGTGCTGCTGACGCTACTGGAGGTGCTGCTGGTGCTGGTGGTACTGCTGGTGCTGCTGGAGCTGCCGGAGGTGCTGCTGGTGCTGGGGCTGCTGGAGCTGCTGGAGGTGCTGCTTCTTCTGGAGGTGCGGCTGGTGCTGCGGACCCGGGCGTTGGAGTTGCTGCTGGTGCTGCGGACCCTGGAGTCGGAGCTGTTGCTGGTGCTGCGAACCCTGGAGTTGGAGCTGCTGCTGGTGCTGAGGAACCTGGAGGTGGAGCTGCTGCTGGTGCTGAGGACCCTGGCGCTGGTGTCTCTGCTGGTTCTGGAGACGCTGCGCGGCCGCGGCCGTACTTCGTTCCGCTCCTTCAGCAGGTTCTTGGTCAGCCTCCTCCTCCTTGTCCTCCTCCCTCCTTAGAGTGTCCTCCGTCTGTCCAGTCGCAGTCACAGTTACCGTCTGACTCCCCTCTCCCTGGTCCTTCTCCTTACACTGGTCCGACTAGAGGTCTTACGGAGCGTCGTGAGCCTGAGTCTCGTCCTGCGTCGCCTAAGTCTCGTCGAGCGTCGCCTGTTCGTGCTGCTCACACTGGTCGTCGTGTCCCGCGTCAGCGTCCTCCTGCTGTCCCAGGCACTCACCAGATGGCGCTTCGTCCTTCCACTGCTCCCCAGCGTGTCCCTCTCCCGTCTCCTCCTGCGTCCTCTCTTCCTGCTCTTGCTGACCCTGAGTCTGACTCCCTTCGTGCTGCCAGTCCTACTGTCACACGTCTCCTGGCTACTGTTGTCACTGACCCTTCCTTTGAGTCCACTGCTGCGTCTGCCTTAGTTGCCGAGCTTGTCGACTTTGCTGCCACTTGTCGTCTAGACTACGCCGCTAGCCTAGTTGCTGAGTCTGAGTCTGTCTGTCCTCCGTCCGTCGGGGGTGAGTGTGCTCTTGGCACGGACGTCCTTGAGGACAGGCAGGAGGAGTTTGAGTGCTTTGCCGCTGCTTTACCTCATCTCGTGTCCATGCTAGTTGCCCCTGAGGGAGACCCGGATGCACCAGACATCCCGACTCCGCGCTCTTACGCAGAGGCGATAGAGGGTCCCTACTCCTCTCAGTGGCAGACAGCCATGGACGCAGAGATGGCTTCCTGGAAGTCCACAGGCACCTACGTCGACGAGGTTCCCCCACCTGGGGCGAACATCGTCAGTGGCATGTGGATTTTCAGGGTGAAGCGGCCGCCGGGTTCTCCGCCTGTCTTCAAGGCGCGTTACGTTGCACGAGGCTTCAGTCAGCGAGAGGGAGTTGACTTCTTCCAGACCTTCTCCCCGACCCCGAAGATGACCACTCTTCGGGTTCTGCTGCACGTCGCCGCTCAGCGTGACTACGAGCTCCACTCTCTTGACTTCAGCACTGCTTTCCTACAGGGCAGCCTGCACGAGGAGATCTGGCTGCGCCGCCCACCTGGCTTCACTGGGTCGTTCCCTCCTGGTACCCAGTGGAGCCTCCGGCGGCCAGTCTACGGTCTCCGACAGGCGCCACGTGAGTGGCACGACACACTGAGGACTACACTTGCGGCTCTTGGGTTCGCTCCTTCTACTGCTGACCCGTCGCTGTTTCTACGCACCGACACCTCGCTGCCGCCGTTCTACATCCTCGTGTACGTCGACGACTTCGTCTTTGCCACTGCTGACACTGCGGCACTCGCCCACGTGAAGTCGGAGCTGCAGAAGAGACGCACGTGCACAGTCCTGGGTGAACTGACAAGCTATCTTGGCTTGCGGATCACCCGAGACAGAGCACGGCGCACCATCACCTTGACTCAGTCACACATGGTGCAGCAGGTCCTTCAGCGCTTCCGCTTCACGTACTCCTCGCCTCAGCCCACTCCTCTGCCTACCGGTCACTCGCTCTCAGCTCTGCCTTCGGATGAGTCCGTAGAGCCGAGTGGCCCGTATCCAGAGCTTGTGGGCTGCCTCATGTACCTGATGACCTGCACTCGACCTGACCTTGCATACCCTCTTAGCATCCTTGCACGCTATGTCGCTCCTGGCCGTCACCGGAAGGAGCACATGGATGCCGCTAAGAGGGTGTTGCGCTACTTGTGCAGTACGTCGGGCATGGGGCTAGTGCTTGGAGGACGAGACCGAGTTGTACTCACTGGGCACTCAGACGCGTCTTGGGCTGACGACCAGGCTACTCAGCGGTCGTCTCAGGGTTACACCTTCAGCCTTGGCTCTGGTTCAGTTTCTTGGCGTTCTACACGCTCGTCTTCTGTTCTCAGCTCCAGTTGTGAGGCTGAGATCTACGCCACAGCCATGGCTGCACAGGAGTTACGCTGGCTCACCTACCTGCTGACCGACTTGGGAGAGCGGCCTCGTTCTCCTCCAGTGCTGTACGTCGACAACAAGGCTGCCATTGCCTTGTGTGAGGAGCACAGAATGGAGCACAGAATGAAGCATATCGCTCTGCGCTACTTCCTTGCTCGAGAGCTGCAGCAGCGCGGTCAGCTTCGTCTGCGTTACGTGGCCACTCGGGCCAACACTGCTGATGTGTTCACCAAGGCGCTTCAGCCTTGTAACCATCAGCGCTTCTGTACTGTTCTAGGCCTCGTGCCTACTGGGCCTCACTTGCTTACTTCTTGACTCTGCTTGTACTGTGATCTCTGTATATATACCTGCTTGTTTACTCTTGCTAGGTTGTGATCACTGTATCTCTTGTTATACTATCAACCTGCATGTGAACTGGTCTTGTGACCACTTGCTTGTGCTCAGAATTTGTGTGGTTTCCTTGAGATCCACCCTGAGCTTGCTTTGCTTTGCTTTGACTGGTCTTGTGACCATCTGGTTGTCTCCCACTTAGCCTATGGGGGTGTGTCAAACATTATATGTTTATATTGTGTAGGCTATAGTGGGTTTAGCCTTAGGGGGTACAGCTTTGTTAGGGTTTCCTACTTGTATCCCCCTCCTACCTAGTTTCATGCATTCTCGTTCTATTCTAGATTCTAACAAGCGCAGTGGTGGGCCCAAGGAAAAAAACGGTCCTAGCGAAGGACCTGCTCTGAAACCATGTCAAAATAACGAACGAGAAATGAATGCATTGAGCACAAGTTGGGTACAAGTACTAATCCTAATTGGGTTGTACCCCTTATGGGCTACCCCAATATAGCCTACACAAACGTAAGCACTATAACATTCTGACAGGGGTAGTGTCAAACTATATTTCTGATAATTCTTTATATGTTAGTCTAGGTGCTACATTCAGCCCTAGGTTCAGTTAGGGTTTCATATATACTTCTGTTTTGCATGCTATTCAGCCATTCATTCTCACATTTTAGCATGGTACCCTAACCATGGTTTCCCCTAGCAATTACTCTTGATATTTATGGGCCCACCTAACTAGCTAATTGCGCCCCGTCCTAAGTAGCGCTTCGTACTAGCCTGTCGCCAGGTTTAAGTGAGGTTGGAATTCGGAGCGTCAGATCCAGTTTCTTCTCAATAGCCGAGATCGGGGCAAAATCGACCAAGGGAGAATCACGCGATGTACAGAATCTGCGCTCAACAATTCTACAATTGATTCGCTTCGTAGTAAGTCGACCAGCGCACATAATTGATTTATTTTTGTCGCAAATCTTCCTGTAAATCGCCGAATGGAGGACATCGGTGATAATTTCGTACGAGAAATTGCGGAGTTACGCACTGACCTGGACCACGCGAGCAGCATTCCAGAAATTTGAGGCATTATTCGCAAACCAAGCGATAGCCAACACGGTAGCAGCGAACGCAACAGCGAATGCAACAGCGACGTCATCAGCAGTAGCGGCGACACCGACATTTCATCCAGCAGCAGCGGCACTAGCTACACTGAATCTTGTTGCGGCACATCCGAGGCAATCTAAGGCGTTCAATCCGAATGCGAGGGATACGGACGTCCGGCAATTCATTGCAACCCTCGAAATTTACTTCAAGGCCGTTGGCTCTACGACCCCGACAAACGATGCAATGCGGGTTCGGCTCGCAGCGACACTGTTGTGAGGCCCGGCGCTTGAATGAATTTACAACAGTAACGAGATCCGAGGCAAGTGGTCATGGACACAGTTTCGAGCAGCTTTAATTCTAAGTTTCAAACCAATTAATTCGAGCTACATAGCGCGGCAGCAGATTCATCGGCACAAACAAGACAGCAGTGTAACATAGTACACGTAGCAGATGGAGAACCTCTTCAAGTGAATTACCGACCTGACCAAAGGGGAAAAAAATCCAAGCGTATACTGAGGGGCTAAAAACCGAAGTCCGCCACCAGGTTATCGCAGCGAACTACAGTAACTGCCGCGACATGGTCTGCGCAGCCGAACGATTCGATGCGTTAACTCGAGGTCAACCCGACACATGACGCAACGTGCCGAACAGGAATTTCGGAACGGAAGAATCGGCACCCCCCACGACCGCCTACCCGATGGATATCGACAAGGTCGGTGCGAATTTTGCGGTGCAGCCGGACATCGATTCTTGGCGTGTTGGAAAATGAAGAAGGCATGAGTCAATCCGCATGGCAACAAAAGTGCAGCACCCCAGAATTAAAAAACGAGAATTGCCAGTAGTCGCAGATCGACCTGGAAATCGCAAAAATATCTGGAAAATGGAAAAGGGCGACGACGTGGCGACTTCGGAGCGGCAAAAAAAAAGGAGGAAATGATGGCGCAAGTTTAAAACGTCACGACCGGCTGGCAACAGGGAAAATCGTCGGGACGAAGGGAAACTCCACGAGAAAAAGACTTTGCACCGACCGGGAAACTCCAGCGGAACACCCCCATGAGTAAAAATCCATTAGAGTTATCCTATAAATATGCTTTAACCAAGAATATTACTTCTCGTGGTTTTCAAGCCTTTGGAAAAAATAGGGGAGAATTAGAGGCTAAGAAAAAGCCCTCAGAGATCATTCAGGTACCTGAGAAGTTGGGAAAACTGGCAAACCCCGTGACCCTCGCCACTGACCTCTTTGAGGAGAGGCTCAATGATGTGGAGGATCTTGCTCGCACCCTTGCTACTGCTTCTAGTACCGCCCTCCCCCCCATATTCAAGGGGTGTGCCTTGTCTTTCCTAGCCTCCCCTGTGGCCTCGGCCTCTGTTGCAACTGCAATAGAGGTGGCAGCGGTTGCCTCTAGCAACAAGGGGTGCAAGAACGGCGGTAGGAAGGGAGGAAGTGGTGGAGGTGGCGGAGGGGGCAGTGGTGGAGGTGGTGGAGGGGGTGGAGGTGGTGGGGGCGGTGGTGGAGGAGGAGACAGCGGAGGAGGAGGCAGGGCGGCGCCCCTGCAACAGCAGCCGCCCCAGCAGCAGCATCCCCAGCAGCAGCAGCAGCCGCGACAGCAGCAGCAAGCATGGAGGCAAACAGGACCAGGGAGCTCTACTACGGAGAAGGCACGATTGTGAGAGGGATCGTAGCGTTCTTTGCGTTCTCAGGAACTTGCATGTTCACGGGGCAAAACGGCAAGATTTTCACTAGAGAAAGCACATAACAATGGTAGCAACAACATTGGCAAAGTTAACTACATCAAGAGCAAGTCTGCCTAGCATGAAAGGAGGTCGACCTCCAGCAGAGCATGGTCGACCGCGTTCCAGCACTGAAAACTCGACCGCACTCCAACGTGCAGAGTGCAAAGTGGCGACTTGTCAACGTTGCACCCACATGAAATCAGCGCACCTACTTCGCAGGTGCTCGCAGTTGATCAGCGTACTGCGCACCGTCACGTGTGCAACGCAGACGCCAAGTCGACCACATGCCATTGACTACGCCTGATTAGCCACATCGACCTCGGGATACCACTGCCGAGGTCGACTTTGCCAGAACCACCTGGGCGACAGTTGCGTGTCCTGCAGAACATCGTCGCATTGGTTATTTGGTCGACCGGGACACCACCAGGTGGACGTCGACTTGTTCGGCAAAAGTCGACCAGCAGCTGTACATGCTTGTTGTTATGTTATGCCATCATTTGCATTCACGTCTTTCTACCTCCCATCTTATGTTCGTGCGTTGCATGCGTGCGTGCGTGCGTAAGAATTTGTGTTCGGCATGGTTTGGATTTTCTAAGTCTGTGTGAAGGTTTTTTGTTTGATCAGATATCTTAAATGAATTCTCTGCTCAAGAGCTTTACGGCGAACCAAGGGTCGTCTCAATCGTGTTAAAGTCACAATAGGCTTGAATGTGCCTAAACCGAAAGATAGAGTGCACAGTCATATTTCTGCATAGCGGCTTCAAACGTTGATAGCGTTCTGTTCACAGCTTCAAATGACTTGCTATAAATTGGATCTGGAGCGTCTGGATATCGCCTACAATAGGCAATTTACATCACAAGATTTCATAAATTATTGATGACGCAACATCGGTTTGAACGAACAACACTATGGCAGCCACAATAGTCTTAGAACACAATGTAGGAAGAGTTACGAGTTGGGAATGACTCCCAGCTCCTACAAACCCCAAGAGCCAAGGTAAAGTGATGTGGAACAGTGCCAAACTGTCCCCAACCATGAAGAGTCTCGAAACTGCCCTCCACAAGGGCCTACACCAAGAGAAATGTTACACTACACATTGTAATGTAACAATTCTCACTATCTTGAAGCTTACCCTTTTGGAGAGCTTCGAAATCACTTGAATCTTGAAACCATGGCTCTGGTTCTTCAAGATAAATTCTTCCTCGACTTCTTGGAAGTCTGCTACGCGCACCTGCGACACGCCGAACGTTCCACACAAGAAAAAATAGAAAACCACACACGACACGCAAACGACGACGTGGCACGCGACTAGCGATAACTCGCTATTGACTCGACGCACACATTCAAAATCATACCTCATCATTCACACACTATTGTAAGCATGAAATATATATTATCTCATGCCCTCATACCATTCCATGCACGCACGCATGTACGCACACGAACAACAAGCCGAATGCAAACCATAGGGTTGCACCAACAACCTCCCCCTCGGATTGTTGGCCTTAGGATCTTGCTCTCTCAGTTCAGAGCCATCCCAGCCAGCTTGCAACTGTTAGCGAATAAGGACAGGGTCTATGAAGATTAAGGACCAAAATATCTCAAAATCGTCAACTATAATTCCGGACAGAAAAGTCGTCGTCACAAGAAACGTCGTCAACACAAAACGCTCTGTGCGAATTCTCTCAAACTCGAGTATGTTGTCGCCCTTGACCGTGGCTATCTTCCCCAATTCGAATAGCATCAAAATATGGACTATAGCTTGAGTTATGAATTTCGGCGCACTAGGGGGTATGCTGCCATAGAAACTTGATCACAAAGTTGTCTCACAAGTTCACACAAGAAAGTTGGAGTAGCAATTGAACCAGGTATGAGGGGATGAGGAGGACGAGAGGGAAGGTCCCAAGGGAGTCCCCAACCAAGGAAACCCCATACCACACAATTCCCCTCTCTATAGGCACCCTAACTTTGACATTTGTCACTTTCCCAACTCATGCCATCCACCTCACCCAACTTGGCCACACTTGCCAACCTGGTTTGGCTTCTCCCAACCACTTGGCATCATCTACAGTGATGGTGACGAATTTCCCAACCCCCAAAAGTCTGTACCCCATATTGAGTCAACCCGCAAATTCCCATAGTCGCCGCATCTC